AAGTTCTAACCATTCTCTGTGACAGCTTCATCAAGTTCCTCCTTGCTTCTACAGAAGGTATCACTGAAGAAAAAACAGGAGAAAACCGATAACAAATCACATTGGTGTTGGAAGTTTGAGGTTTACTTGTGAAACAAGTTATATACCTCCAAGGTCCGTGATGTTTGTAGCCATGAAACTAGCCATCCTTTCACACTGTCTCTTTAACACAGCTAGCCACCGTTCCGCGCCAAAGGGCACACCGCTCTTCACATACTCTCTAACCACCTCGTCCTGCACAAGCTTCTCTTCTACTTCCACGTGCTCTACCCATGTGACCTGAGAGTATCCGTTACGCATTTCTTGAATGATGCAACCAGAAGGTTTTCTCCGGTATTGATCAGTAAGAGTAGCTGATGTTGGTTTGATCCTATCGATCGGGAAATCTACAATCATCCATTTTCCTTCTTCCGCATCTTGCTCCACATACCGAAGAAAATAAGCTTCTCTTGTTGGTACCAATGGAGACACTACTTGTAACTCTGCAAACATCTTATTGAAAAGAGAGACAAGACTCAGTTACCTGAAAACCAATTAATTTTGATCACTTTAACTATTGTAAAACTTTAATTACTCACCAGAAGAAGAGTACCACTTGGTCCAGAAGTTCCAGAAGAAATGATCTGAATCGTCTTGGCGCTTGCGACTATCGGGCAGAACATTTCTGACCATTTATCCTTGAAGCAAAAGTTTAACATATTTATGTTACATCTGACTTTTTAAAAAAATGAAATTAAAGAATTGTGTTTTGACTTATTCTTACAGCATCAAGGAATGCTTTGACGAGGTTAATGCAGTTCATCATGATGACTGCATTAGCTCTTGAAGCTTCTCTGCGAAAACGATCATCATCAGTCAATGGAGGCCAGAAGAACATCTTCTTATACCCTTCTTCGTTAAGACACACACTATCATTGTATAGTCTCTTCTTACTCCACAAGGGCTCATTTATGTCACACATCTTTGCTAATTCTTGAGCGCAAGAAACCGCAAGTTCCATTGCAATCGCCTTTTCTTCTTCCGCAATCAACATGTTATTGTTGTTGTTATTAGTCTCCGGGATGAAACAGGCAATCTCTTGTGCAGGAGGAGGATTCCTCATGGAAACAATGCTGCGTAAGCGATCAAGCTGCAACATATAACAAACCGTTTGATTCAGTAGATAAACAACAACGGCCAAGATTTGATTCATTCAAATATACATACCTCTCGGCGGAGGCGGGCGTTTTCGAGGCGGAGGTTGTGTCCACAAGAAGAGCAAGAGAGGCATTGTAAACTGGACTGAAGATTCTGACTCTCTGTCTTTAGAGTCTCATTCTCTGCTTTCATCATTACATTATCTCTTCTTGTTTGTTGTGCCTGTTAATCATAGTATTAGCAACAATAAAAAGCTTAAATTTTTAACATTTTAAGTCTGAGCCAGAGTTTCTAACCCCCATTTGAACCGGTTTATACGGTCTAATTAACCTTGTTAAAAATTCAAACCAAATTAAAGAGTGATTATACCTTGATTTGGGTACGTTTATTTTGAAACCAAAACTTGACTTGTAGTGGCGTGAGACCAAGTTCTTTACTTAATCTCAATCGTTTTTCGTCATCCAGATGAGGATTTTCTTTAAACAATCTACAATGAACACCAATTAATAAATAGTAAACATTATTTCATACAAAATCGTTACTTGTAATCTTAAAAGAAAACGGCAAAGACGTACGCTTCCATTTGTTGAATCTGAAGAGCAGTGTGTCTATGGTTACGTTTCTTCTTCGCCGGAGGAGGCTCTTGTTCGATTGCAGTATTCTCCACCGGGTCATGACCCGAACAAGTTGACATAACCGACCCGCTTTCGATCATGCTCGTCATCTCATACTCCTCTTTCTAAACAACCAAAACACTAAAAGTTATCAACTTTTTAAGAAAAAGATGTAAAAAAAGTTAGGGTTTTTGGTTGGAAGCGAAGACAAACCGGAAAAATGTAAGGGAAATTTGAGTTGTCGAAGGAGGCGAATTTGTAATTAGGGTTTTGGATTGTTGTTGTCGGAGACGAAGACACCGAACCGAAAATGTTGTCGGAATTTAAAAACACATGTCCTTGTTCTTCTTCGCCTGGTTTCATCGCTTGACAATCTCCGTACATCTTTTTTTTGTCTTTCGTTTCCATTTCAAATCAGACAAAAAGAAAAATGAAGAATCAATCACTGAAAAGAAGATAAGATGAGTTTATAGGGTTTGGTTTCACTTCATCTTTTGCTTCACTCTCATTTTTTTTTTTTTACTTTACCTTGTGTTGGCTTCAGAGAAACTGAAGAGATAAAAATGTTAAAAGTGTAAATGAAATAGTTACCGGACCAGGGAGAGTAAACGGCGTCCGTTACTGTTTAACGGCGATATTTAACGGAATAACAGAGAGACAAAAAGCTTGTCCAACACTCTACTCTTTTTTTCCTCGAAGGAAGCAGAGAGTCAAATCAAATCTTTTTGCTCAGTCGACTCAAAAAAGTCAATATTTAGGATCTCAGTCAAACATTATTCTCTGACGCGCGTTCCAAGTCCGTGTATTACAATCGCGTTGCTCACACTTGAAGCCCAATTTTACCGGACCCTAACAATCCAAGCCCATTATAACAAAAACACCAATCTATAACTAGATGATTATAAAAAATTTCACAATAACTCGAAAATAAATTAATATAAAACAATTTACATATAAGTTAATAATAAAATTTGGTATGTAAGATAATATTACTTTTCTCTCCGATAAACAGAGTAATATAAGAAGTTAAAAGATACTACAATTATAATTAAGCTTGTTTACATAATTACATTGGAGGTTTGCGACAATAACAACGGTATGAGACACAAACATAAATTACTTCGCCTTTTGATTTGCATAAGTCAATGCAAGATTGAACATTACACCTCGTCTTAAGGGATATCGCGCGGACGTATCTTTCATTAAGGCATTGGCACTTGTTCTGCTCACACTTGATCTTCTTGGTTGGACAATTTTGATTAGTACAATCAGATTCCTTGTTGCAAGATTGTGCCAGAATTTGAGTACCTATAAGATATAATATGTTATTGATCATGATGATATATAATATCGATGATGAAGATGACGATGGTGATGGTGATGAATGTAAGTATGTAACTATATAAACATATGGTCCACAAATTTTACGTACATGTTGAGAAAAGTAGAAGACCGATAAATATCGAAGCTGCTTTCTGCATTTTTGTTGAATAAGTTTGTATATTTCTCTTGTGTTTTGATTTCTTTGTGTGACTTAAAGTGGAGGATTTGGAGTTTGTATTTATACAAAATTAATTAGAATAATGAAACTAAGATACCATCATTAATTTTGTTATTTTAGTTTAGCATGATTTTGTATTTAAGTTGGATATAATAAATTGGATATTTAAGTTGGATACAATAAATTAATGATGATGCTAAAATAACATCATTAATTTTGTTATTTTAGTTTAGCATGATTTTGTATTTTAGTTTAGCATGATTTCATTCATTTATTATAAGTTTTTATTTATACAAACTAAGATAACATCATTAATTCATTATATGTTTGTATTTATAAGTGTAAGAAAACAATTTCGTTTTCTTCCCCAGCAAGCAAAATATATTTTGCTAATTATTTTACTGGTCAATATTTTTGATAAATACCTGAATTACTTCATGTAACAAGATTTTATACCTAAGTTGTTTATTGAGAGTGTGGAAAATTACCACAGTTTGATGTTTCTTAAGGTAGTAAATTGGAAATTAATTATTTTTCTTTTTTGTCAGCAATAACATCATTAATGATTAAACTAAGATACCATCATTAATTTTATTATTTTAGTTTAACATGATTTCATCCATATTTAAGTTATAACCTTTATATAATATCACAAAACACAATCTTCATTCCATTTTTATTAATTTAAAAACCTATATAAGAATTATCTAAAATTTCTATTTACTCTTTTCTAATGGATTCTAGAGAATTCTAAAATTTTATCTTTCAAGTTCAATGAACTATAACAATTCTGATTAACCGTTTAAATCGAAGCCACAACCAAAATCAAAAACTATAATTGAAATTAACCCGCAACATGAATCTATGGTTTCAATGATTTTTTTACATATTTTCGCTATATTATCACCAAAACATAACTAGATTCATTATACCATAACCGTTTCCATCGTTTGAACCATACAAGTTTGACAGATTTATTCCCAATATAATTCTCAACGAAGTTTCGTCGGATTGTCACTAGATTTTCGTTGAACTAGCTTTATTTCAACTGGACTACAGTTATTGTTGTTTCTTTAATTTCGATAGACAAATATATTCATAATGAGTATCTAACATATTTATATATAGTCTAATTTAGGAAACTAACAAACCTGATAAAATATCAAATTATCTTGAAGGTCAATTTGATATTATTTTCCAACTTTTATTATGTTCATCAACAATTAAGTACATAAAATAGACAAATGGAGAATGAATCTGAAAAATAAGTGAAAGAAAAACATTCCAGCTAAGGTTTGTTTTCAGTCAAATGTCCACACATAAACACTATTGTATTTAAGTGATATAATCGATATTCAAAAGACATTAATAGTAAGAAAAATAGATATTTGAAAACCTTATACGGAAACTTAATAAAATTACATGGGAGGTTTGCGACAGTAACAATGGTTTAAAATACATGCATAAGCATTTTCACCTTTTGCCTTGCAATAGTCAACGCAAGCAGCCACACCACAATTGGTATCATCCGGTAATGTCATGAGTTCTTCAAGGGGGCATTCACATCCACCGTTTATACATTTGGGGGTACCAAATGGTGTTGGACATTTGAGTTTAACACAATCAGAGTTCGTCTTGCAAGATACATATCCAGTTCGTGCTCGAATTGGTGTACCTGTAAAAATCATTGAATTGACTTTTGATATGATGAGGATGATGAATACAATTGGAACATAAAATTTGTTGTAAACTCACATGTTGAAAAGAGTAGAATTCCAATGAATATCAAAGCTGATTTCTCCATTTTTATTGTGTTTTATACTCTTTTTCTTTTTGTAGTGATTTTGATATTGTTTGCACAATTAAGATGATGTGTTTACAAACAATTTATAATTGTAACAAAACGAATTTTCTTTTTCTTTTATAGCATGAATAATCTGTTCTTTCTAATTTCACTTGAGAACAAAATATTTTGATAATGTGTTTAATTGGTCAAGATTTTCTTCTTTTACTTTTGTCAAAGGTCAATATTTACATTTATTCTTAATTGATACTTCTTTGAATTTAAAGTGCTTAAAATCTTCACCAAAAAAAGAAAGAAAGATCTTTTTATAATTAGGGAAAGAGTTCTTAAATCACCGACCAAAGCGTTTCCTGTCAAATGTTTTTGTAACATCTATTTTGGTTGGGGTTACTTTCAGTTACATAAAATCACTTGACGCCAGCCTAATTGATTGTAAATTTGATCTAATCAAATTGGTGACAAAATAAAAATATGACTGAAACTAAAATTATTTGTTGACAAAAAAAAACAAGAACAGGATTATTTAAAAAGAAAAATCAATCGGTATTTTGGTTTAGTTAATATTAGCCCGGTTAAAAATACTTAACCATGATTTTTCACCAGTTTTGAGAAAACTTTAAGAAAAACCATAAGGACAAAATTGTTTTTTTTTTTTCAGGTCTAATTACCAAATCGACCATGAATCCAATGTTACAAGGCCACAAGTCTTCGTCCTAAATAACAAGTTCAATCTTCATCTTCAACAATCTGAGAGAGATTAGTTCCAAGTATTACCGCTTACAACAAGAATCAGAAAGGTCTTTACTTGTCTGCATATCTCAAGGTTGAGCAGGAGCCGGAGCTGGAGCCATAGGTGGAGGAGATTGTTGCTGCAGTGGTTGCGGTTGTGGCTCAAGATGTTCAGATTCTTTCTTTGCTTTAGGAGATTCAGAGAGTTTTGATTCATGTTCGGCTTCTTGCGTTGATGAAGCTGCCTTTGGTGATTCAGACAAGTGAACTCTAGCAAACTCATCAACCACTTTCCTCTTATCCTCTTCCTCAGCCATACCAACTTTCTCTTTAGCCTTTTGTCCAACTTCTTCTGCAGCTTTAGCAACTTTGTTGAAGGCTCCAGTGACCCACGTGGCACCTGTGAGAACATACCGGTTCTTCATTATAGCTGAACCTGCATTGCTCACTGTCTGCTCTGCTGCGGCGATTGCTGATTTAGTTTTCTCTGAGACTTGGTACTTCTGATCAACTTCCCTGACTTTTTCTCCCACAACGACTGTGCCTGTGTTGATCTTATCAGTGAAACCGATTTTCTTGTCAAAAGATGCGACTTTGGCTGATGCTGTAGATGTTAGCTGGTGCTTCTCATCAACACTCTTGGCTTTGGCTATGGCATCTTTTCCCAGGATAAAGCCCTTTGCAAGCATGCTGCTCACAACATCTTCGGCTTTTCTCAACACGGAGTCACCTGCTCTGGGAGATTTGTTGCTGTCCTTGGGTTCCTGTGAAAAAGATAAAATGGTAAAAGTTTTACTTGTGAAAAAATCTCAGAAGAGATGATGAATTAAGAGCTTACTAAGGAAGCTAAAGCCTCAGCGGATAGTTGGTAATCAGGGGCCATAGAGACAATAACTGAAGAATCAACAATCGTTGCTCCCTGAAATGAAAGAATCACATTAATACCCAGTCACTCAAAGGACACAATCACATAGAGGAACTGATACAGGTTAAGAAGTGGAAATACCGAGAGAAGAACCGCAGTTTCAGCTCCTTGCAGATCCTTGAAAGTAACATATGCTAGTTTAGTCCGATCAGTCTCGCTGTACAAACATGTCAAAAGAGTTAAGAACCCGAAGAACTAAAACCGTATAATCTAAACTTCCAAAAGGAACACTAGAGAGGAAACCAAACCTCTGCGTCTCAAGGTATAGAATATCGCCAGAAAAGGAAAAGAACTCCTTGAGATCTCTCTCGGTTGCTCCAAGAGAAACATTGCTCACTTTCACAGTTGTCATCTGCAAGTGAGATACAATCTCGTGAGACTTTAAACTATGATTCAAAACCTCTTCACCAGCTAAATGACCTTCCTTATCGCCTAAACAATGACTATACACACACACACACACTCCTAAAGCAACCAGTATCATCAATACAATGATGAGAAACACAACAACATTGTATCATCATTACAAGATGATAAAAAAGAACCTCAGAATCTATGAAAAGCTTATCCTTGTCTCACAACTAATCCTATGGCACAGATCAGATATTACAAATTACAAAACAAAACAAATGCTAAACTGAATATCTGAATCCAAACAAAAATAAATTACCCTAAAAAAAAAAAATCTTCATCTCAAAAACAGGAATTTTCACCCAAATTAAAAACAGAGAATAGCTTCAAATCCTCTAAAATAAAAAACTAACGATTCTTCACTGATAATAAACCCCATTTGTGCACAAAATAACAATCAAAATCAACAGATCTACTCATATCTTCATCAACCAAATCAACAGCAACAACATCCATCTTCTCAGGATAAATCCAAAACAAAAACCAAAACCAACGAAGGGATTAGATAAACTCACCGACATGAAGAAACTCGCTTTAACGCGGATTGAAACGTAAGATATTTTTTTTCTTCACCGGAGGAACAAATTTGAAACGAAACGAAAAATCAAAGAAAAGAAAAATCTTTGGTCTCGCGGATTTGATGTGAAGAAGAGAGAAAAAGAAAAGAAAAAGTGGGACCTGTTTTGATTTGGAAAAACGAGACTTATTCGGGTTTGGCACGTGATATGGTCGGAAACTTCTCACGTGCGATGATTTAAACTTAAAAAATAGTCCTAATTTTAAAACTTCTTTTACTTTTTGACCCTTTTTAGTCACGTAAAGTTTTATCTAGAGATTTTATTCATTAAATTCGGGATTAAGATATTACTACTAATCTATCATAATCCTAAATCTATTCTAATTAATCCGAAATCTGTTACTTGGTTACAATCATCAACCGACGTCGTGACATAATCACTCTCTCCACCAATGTCTATTATCCAACGTGTCGTGAGCTCAGAGCAATGTAATCACATCCTAGACATTTTTGTCATTTCATGATAAAAGGAGGATATACCGTTAAAATTCTAAACTATAGAGTCACTTTTAGAATATTATAGAAAAAGTAAGGGTCAAAATTGAAAAAGGTACAAGCTTTTTTCGTTCATACAGGTAATGTGACGTTTCACGTTTTGCTCAATATCTCTCTCTCTCTCCGCGATTCACGTTTTTCTCAATCTGTCCGGAGAGAGAGAAACCCACCGGAGATTCTGAAAATCACTGTCACATTCTTTCCTCCGTCGATCTCCGTTACCGTGAAATCGAAGTTTTGATTTTGCTCTGTTTTCTTGGGAATAAAAGAGGATAATTTAGTGGTGAGTTTTTCGAGAAAGAGAGAGAAAGAATGAGTTTTCAAGATTTAGAGGCGGGAAGAGGAAGATCATTAGCTTCTTCAAGGAACATCAATGGTGGTGGTGGTAGACAAGACACGACTCAAGCTGTTGCTTCTGGTATATTTCAGATCAACACAAGTGTTTCCACTTTCCATCGTCTTGTCAATACTCTTGGTACTCCTAAAGACACACCTGAGCTCAGAGAGAAGGTGTAAGTACTTCTCAAAGTTAAAGTTATCTCCTTTTTTTTAGTTTAAGGTTCTTGAGATTGTTTCTAATTCTGTCAATTGCTTGATTGTGTGAGAAAATGTGTGTTTTAGGCACAAGACAAGATTACATATTGGACAGCTAGTGAGAGATACATCAGCTAAACTTAAAGAAGCTAGTGAAACTGATCATCAAAGAGGTGTAAATGTGAGTGATTTATATAAAGGAAGAGTCTTTTTCTTCTGCTACTTCTGTTGGTTAATAGGAATTTGATGGGTTTGTTTTGTATATATTGGTGGGTTAGCAAAAGAAGAAGATTGTGGATGCTAAGCTTGCAAAGGACTTTCAAGCTGTGTTGAAAGAGTTTCAAAAGGCTCAGCGTCTTGCTGCTGAAAGAGAAACCGTATATGCTCCTCTTGTCCACAAGCCATCTCTTCCTTCTAGGTAAATGCTCAATGAAGGAATTTAAAACGGTTTATGTTTATTTGTGTGGTTTTGTGTATTGATTTCTTGGCGTTGGTAATATAGCTACACATCCAGTGAGATAGATGTGAATGGAGATAAGCATCCAGAGCAGCGTGCCCTTCTTGTGGAATCAAAAAGGTAAGTTTATACTGACAAAAGTCTCCATCTTTGTTCGGATTGATGAGTCATCTATTAATTGGTTTGTTATTGTTGTTGCAGACAAGAACTTGTACTGTTGGACAATGAGATTGCGTTCAATGAGGCTATTATTGAGGAAAGAGAGCAAGGGATACAAGAAATCCAGCAGCAAATTGGCGAGGTGCACGAAATCTTTAAAGACTTGGCAGTGTTGGTACATGATCAAGGAACCATGATTGGTAAAAATGATTCTAAATCTTGTTAGAATAAACCTCTAACTTATGTATTCAAAACCCTCAACCTAAGACCTATTTTGGTGTAGATGACATTGGTACTCACATCGATAACTCATACGCTGCAACTGCACAAGGAAAATCCCATCTCGCTAAAGCCTCAAAGACACAAAGATCAAATTCTTCTCTGGTAAAAATATTCAAGCTTTTGATCATACCATGAAATGTGTTTTTGAGGATTTTGGATGATCATATCAGCCTACTAACTTCTTCTTTCCATTGTTTTTTTTTTCTTGTAGACGTGCTTGCTCTTGGTGATTTTTGGTATCGTGCTCATGATTGTTATTATAGTGCTCGCTGTTTGATTTACCCAAGCTCATAAAAGCATGGACAAGTGCTTCATCATCAATCAATGAGTATATGTTTGTCATTTCACGGCTCTCTTTGTTCCTACCATTTAGTCTGTTGGACTATTGGTGTCTCGTTTCCTGTTATCGAGTTGAGTATATAGAG